AGCATATTACTCACTGTTGCCTAGTGTAGGTGTGCCTAGTGTAGCCTCCCCTGCTGCGTCAGGCGTAGGATCCTTTGCTTTGTGTAGTCTTGGTGCTTCCGCCGTCGTTACGTCGCCAGACGCCTCTACTTCGCTTTCCTTCACCTTGGACTCTGGCGCTTCTCGGTGTTTCTTCCGCGACTCCACCACCCTGACGCCGCTTCCTGTTCCTACTGTCGTTTCTCTTGCTGACCCCTCCAGCGGTCCGGTAGTCGCCCGCAGTTCCACCACCCTTCCCTGTCCGGCGGTTCCTTCGGGCACTCTCACAGGTCTGCATATCCCCTCGTTCTCCAGGAACCTAGTTGGTGTCGGCTGCCTCTAGGACCTTGGCGTCACCACTACGTTCCCTGGTCACGAGCGGTATGCTGTCTGTACCGAGGCCGCCACTGGTGCCCCCCTGTCCACATTCCCCCGGGACCCGGTGTCCGGCCTGTTCACTCTGGACACCGTGACCCCCCCGGCTGGAGCGCTCACCCATGTTGCTGCTGCCTGCTCCTGTCGGTCCCTCACTCACCCGACCCTCCTGTGGCACCACCGCCTAGGTCACCCTGCGCTCCCGCGTCTGCGTCACATGTCCCAGCACGGTCTTGTCCTTGGTCTCCCAGGTTCTCTCCCCGCGTTTCCCTCCTCCCCAGCCCCACCTTGCACGCCTTGTGTCGAGGGTCGACTTCGCCGTGCCCCTCACTCCTCCTCGTTTCCCCCTACTGCCACGCCGCTGCAGACCCTGCACCTGGACGTCTGGGGCCCCGCCCCCGTCCATGGGCCACGTCGAGAGCGCTACTTCCTTGTGCTCGTCGACGACTTCACTCGTTACACCACAGTCTTTCCCCTAGAGCGCAAGGCCGACGTGCCTGGCGCTCTCATCCCCTGGCTTGTCTCTGCGCGTGTCCACCGCGGTCTCCCTGTCTTGCGTCTTCACTCAGACCGTGGTGGCGAGTTTGCCTCAGGTGTCCTTGGTCGCTTTTGTCGTGCGGAGGGCATCACCCAGACGTTTACCCTACCGGACTCCCCACAGCAGAATGGGGTCGCTGAGCGACGCATCGGTTTGGTCATGGAGGTCGCTCGCACCTCCATGATCCATGCCGGTGCACCCCATTTTCTGTGGCCGTTCGCTGTGCGCTACGCTTCTCACCAGCTTAACTTGTGGCCGCACCCTCAGCAGCCGCAGGTTTCGCCGACCCGTCTTTGGACTGGGTCTCCTGATGACGCGTCTGCGTTCCACGTCTGGGGCTGCCTTGCTCACGTTCGTGCCTCCGGCACGGACAAGCTCACCGCCCGCACTCTTCCCTGCGTCTTCCTCGGTTTTCCCCTTGACGCGTCCGACTGGCACTTTTACCACCCGCCGTCTCACCGCTTCTTTCACTCTCGTGACGTCACCTTTGACGAGTCCGTCCCCTACTACCATCGCTTCCCCCACCGTGGTCCCCCGGTTACCCCCCCTGTTCCTGGCCACCCCTTCCCGGTAGTCCCTGCCCCTCCTCCTCCTCCTCCCCGTCCCGCCCCCTCTGGTGTGTCCCACGTCACCCCCTTTCCGTCGGTGGACCCGGTTGAGGAGTCTTCTGACTCTGGTGGCCCTCCTGTGCAGTCCTCCCCGGCTGCCCCTCCCCCGGTGTCCCCTTCCCAGTCCCCTCCTCCACCGCCTCTTCCGCCTCTGCAGCCGTCGTTGTCGCTGCCGCCGCCGCCACTGCCGCCACTGCCGCCGCCGTCGCAGCACCCGTTCGCTGACTCTGGGGGTGCTCGTCCCGGTAGCCCTGGGGGTGGTCGCTCTGGGGGTGCTGGTGTGGAGAGTGCCGGTGGTAGCCGAGGAGCAGCTTGCGGTCCCGGTGTCGCCGTTGTGCCGCCGCAGCAGCAGTCCCCGCCGGTGTCAGCCCTTCGCCTGCTCGGCCTTCCGTCCCCCGACCCTCCGTCGGTTCCTCCCCGGCCGTCTCCTCCTCTTCCTATCTACGGCCCTGTCTTCCCTCCGCCGGACTCGTCCCCGGCCCGTCTCCCCCCTCGTTCCCCTCCTGTGTCCCCTCCTCTGTCTCCTGACCCGACTCCTCCGTCGCACGTCTGGTCTCACCGTCCCTCCCGTGCTCGTCCTGCCTCGCCTGTCTTGCGCTCTCACCCTATGTTGCTTCGTTCCACGCGTCTCGTCCTCCCCTTCTGCCGTCGCCTCCTCCGTCCTCCCTTGTTGTTGCACCCCCCCCGCTGTCTGACTACCTTCGTGCCGCTCGTCCCCTTGTTCCTCGGGTCCTTGCCTCTCTCGTTACCGACCCGTCTGTTCCGGCCTCGTGCCTTGACGCTCTTGTCGCTGCTGTCGCTGACTTCGCCTCTACCCGCCGCCTTGACTACGCCTCCACTCTGGTCTCTGACCCTGCCTGTCCTCCGTCTGTCGGGGGTGCTCCCGCCCTTGGCAGTGACGTCCTGGAGGACCGCCAGTTCGAGCTTGCTTTCCTCTCCGAGGCTGCTCCCCATCTCTGTTCCATGCTGCTAGTCCCTGAGGGTGACCCAGACGCTTTCGACATCCTGACCCCTCGCACTTACCCTGAGGCGACTTCGGGACCCTGGGCCTCGCAGTGGATAGCTGCCATGGAGCAGGAGATGGCATCTTGGAGATCCATCGGCACCTTCGTCGACGCAGTTCCCCCACCTGGGGTGAACGTAGTCGATGGCCGCTGGCTCTTCAAGGTGAAGCGCCCTCCTGGAGAGCCGCCTGTCTTCAAGGCGCGCTATGTGGCTAGAGGCTTCAGTCAGCGTGAGGGGGTGGACTTCTTCCAGACCTTCGCTCCGACCCCGAAGATGACTACTCTTCGGGTTGTGTTACACCTAGCTGCTCAGCGTGACTACGAGCTTCACTCCCTCGACTTCTCCACTGCCTTCCTTCAGGGCAGCCTACACGAGCAGGTCTACTTGCGCCGCCCTCAGGGCTTTACTGGCACCTTCCCTCCTGGGACCCAGTGGCTCCTGCGGCGCCCCGTCTACGGCCTTCCCCAGGCTCCCCGTGAGTGGCACGACACGCTGCGTGCTACTCTTGCTGACCTGCAGTTCTTTCCGTCTTCTGCAGACCCCTCACTCTTCGTTCGTGCTGGCCAGACTCCGTTCTACATCCTTGTTTACGTCGATGACCTGGTCTTTGCCACAGCAGACAGGGACGCACTGGCCTTAGTGAAGGCAGAGCTGCTGAAGAGACACACGTGCACTGACCTTGGAGAATCGCGCCGTTACCTTGGCTTGCAGATCTCCAGGGACAGAGCAGCGCGCACCATCACTTTGACTCAGTCACACTTGGTGCGCCAGGTCCTTCAGAGGTTCGGCCTTCAGTTCTCCTCTGAACAGCCCACCCCTCTGCCTGTAGACCACAGACTCTCTGCTCTAGTTTCTGAGGAGTCGGTAGAGCTCAACGGCCCCTACGCAGAGCTGGTGGGTTGCCTCATATACCTGATGACTTGCACTCGCCCAGATCTCGCATACCCTCTCAGCATCCTGGCTTGCTTTGTGGCTACAGGCAGACACCGACCGCAGCACTGGTCTGCCGCTAAGAGGGTTTTGCGTTATCTTGCTAGTACATTCGGCATGGGGTTAGTGCTAGGAGGACGTGGGCCAGTGGTGCTTACTGGACACACAGACGCTTCTTGGGCAGACGACGCCGAGACTCTCAGGTCTACCCAGGGCTACTGCTTCAGCCTTGGTTCAGGTGCCGTCTCGTGGAGAGCTACCCGCTCCTCGTCTGTTGCCCAGTCCAACTGTGAGGCCGAGATCTACGCTGGTGCCATGGCGGCACAGGAGCTCCGCTGGCTGACCTTTTTGCTCACTGACTTAGGTGAGCGGCCTAGCTCTGCCCCGGTCCTGTTCGCTGACAACAGGGCCATGATCCTCCTGTGTCAGGAGCCTCGACTCGAGGGCAGAGCGAAGCACATTCAGCTGCGGTACTTCCTCCTGCGTGAGCTACAGCAGCGACGTCAGGCTCGCGTAGTACACTTGGCCTCAGGTGCCAACACGGCTGATATCTTTACGAAGGCGCTTGCGCCTAAAGATCATCAGCGGCACTGTGTACAGCTTGGTCTAGTTCCTGTAGCCTCTCACTTGCTAGGACCTTGACTTTGTACTGTCCTTTATACGTATACTCAGACTGGACTTGTGTCCTCTCGTAGTGGCTGGACTAGTAGTGCCGCCCTGCTCTTGTTCTTGCCTTGTTTGTACTCCTTCTGACTGGTCTCTCAGACCCTTGTATAAGAGGTTGGACTAGTAGTGCCGCCCTGAGCTGTTTGTTTAGGGCATTCCCCTATGCAGTCTAGGGGGTGTGTCAAACATGTGTATTTGTCATGTTTGTATGGACTATATAGGGTCGCCTCTTAGAGAGTACAACACTTAGGTATTTCTTTGTGTACTCTCACTCTATCTATCATTCAATTTTCAAGTTTGATATGTTGATGTAAAAAGGAAACAGTTCCATTTTCGCAAATGTCATACTTATTGGAGACCTTACTAGAAGAGCTGGTGTTATGATGAGGCAGGTGGGAGTGCTGGTCTACAGTTGTAGGTTGTGAAAGGTGTGTGCCAAACCCTGAGGAACAAGCAGCTTCACAAATCACAGCCAGTCAGCTCACAGAGAGCGAGCTAAGCAATACAGCTTTGGTATTGTAGTGAAGGCAGCTGTAGGTGGGGAGGGGTGGGAGTGGGAGATGATACGGTACTTGCTGCTTTACTTCTTCCTCCCCACCCATATAAAGTCTCAACTGACTCTACACAACATTGAAATCGAGTTCACCATGCTGTTCCCCAAGTTCCTGCTGTCCAGATTCCCTGCTTGTTGTGGAAAGCATTCAGCCAACATTGCCTTTGTCGCAAAAAATCGGTGAAGCATGATCAAATTCTTCAGTTCACCAAATTGCTGGTGTGTTGTGCATGGCTAGATTTCGCACATCGCCGAAATATTAATGTTACCACATCGAATACCCTTCCCCAATGATGCAAATGCCACTGCCCTGGTAGGAAGCTCCATTCTTGCCCTCCTCCACCCCAACCCCTGAGCAGCCGCCATTTCCTCCACATCTAGCACCCAGCTTCGCTATCCCGACATTCCTTCGCCCTGCTGCGTCTCCCTCCTCCCATCCTCGTCCGTAGTCGGCGTTCGCCTACTTTCGCAAATCCTTGTTTTACATTCCGTCGTTCAATTTTGTGAAATTCCCCAGCAATGGCTGCACCGGTCGCCAAGGCGGATCTGACGGTGACGGCGGAGAATGTCGGCGCGGCCGGCGAGTCGAAGGTGCTTCAGGCCATTCGGTACTCCCGAGGGAAGCTGGAGCTGCTGGACCAGGCAAGCCGTCGCGTCTAAGCTTCAGGAAATCCTCGATAGTGTGAAAATGGTCGACTCGTTCAATGCCTTTCTCAAATGGCCGTGAAAGCTAACGGTTTGCTCAACCAGGTCCAGGCGTGTTTAGAAGGATCGTTACATTCTCGAAAATAAGCGTCGATTGCAGCGGAACCTGACAACGTTCGTACGCTGCGTGCTTCCTCGCCCGCTCCACCCCCCGCTTGTTGCGTCCATTGCAGCGGAAGCTTCCGCACGAATCCATCTACCTGGACATCCCCAACACCGAAGCTGCCTGGTAATTTCGCGATTCACGCAGATGTAGCTTTTCTTAGCGTCCTGCTTTGGACTGTCAGCTTCTGGGGGAGGGGGTAGGGGAGAGAGGAAGGGGGGATGTAAGGGAGGGAGAGTCTTGGGTGGCAGAAGGAGGGACCACTTCAAGGAGAGACCTTGAAGAGGATATGGAGATATAGGTCCGATCGTTCATTAATTCTTTCTCTTGATGTAAATTTCCATGACAACACATCACTTCCATTGCGTCATCAAACCCCATCCTTTCATCACAACCCGCCACGCGTGCCATCAAGAGGCGTGGTGGCGCGTGATTCATCCTCCTCTTACCCCCCATTCTTCAATACCTCATTGCCTGAATGCCCTTGCACCCCTCTCCACCCCATGTTACCCATCTCAACTCGCCAGGCACGCCATCAAGGACATGGTGGTGCGGGGAGCGCCGGCCATAGCGATCGCAGCAGCGCTGGCGCTGGCAGTGGAGGTGCACCAGCACGAGGTGTTCCAGACCGCGGATGAGGCCGTCAAGCACATCACCGACCGCTTGGATTACCTCGTCTCCAGGTGCGTGTGTCTCCAAGTGTGCCCCGTGGTATCCGCGTCGCTTGCGCTGGCAGTGGAGGTGCACCAGCACGAGGTGTTCCAGGACCGCGGATGAGGCCGTCAAGCACATCACCGACCGCTTGGATTACCTCGTCTCCAGGTGCGTGTGTCTCCAAGTGTGCCCCGTGGTATCCGCGTCGCTTCCGCTGGCAGTGGAGGTGCACCAGCACGCCGTGTTTGCATCCGCGGAGGAGGCCGTCACCCACACCCTCGACCACCTCGACTACCTCCAGTCACGTCTGAGTTAGTGCCAGTTGCTAGGCAGGTGATGCTGCCCTGGCAGCGACTCACTTTCACCCCGTTCCCTCACCCGCTCTCCTCCCCCTCTTCACCCCCCCCCCCCCGCCAGTCGCCCCACGGCGGTGAACCTGTCGGACGCAGCGGAGAAGCTCAAGAAGGTGGCGCAGGAGGCAGCCAAGGAGGAGCCCACGCCCGAAGCTGTCGCGCTGGTGAGGCCAAAGCTGTTGTGCTGGTGAGCCTGTAGCGTAGGCAGGCAGGGCAGTGGTGGTAGTGGGGACAAGTGGCATTCACTCAGAATCTGCTTTGCCAATGGACCATGCTTCGTTGCCCTCTCCTCATCACTCTGCGTTGTCACTCCAATTTTCTCTCGTTGACTCCATCCTTGCGTATCCCTTCCCCTCGTGGCTCCTCTCACCTGATACGCGTGCATCGTTGCTGAGTTGCTGCTCTCCTCTCTCCCCCCTCCATCCCCCCAACAGCCGATGGTGCAGGCAGCAGAGGATGTGTCGACTGACGCTGTGGCTCTTCTCTTTGTCACATGCCATTCCCTGCCTCCAACCTTTCCATTCCTATCCTTCCTCCAATCCTCCCTGCCATCTCCTCCCCCCCCCCCCCCGGTTCCCAGGCAACGGTGCTGGCGGCCGGAGGCGATGCTGAGTGACGACGTGGCGGCCAACAAGCGCATCGGGGCGTTTGGAGCACAGGGCTGTGGTGGAGGCGCTCAGACAGAAGGGCTGGCGGGCAAGAACCTGAGGGTGCTCACCCCTGGCAGGAACACGGCAGGTGAGGGTCACCCACTGCAACCGGGCAGGTGAGGGTGCTCACCATGCAACACGGGCAGGTGAGGGGCTCACCACTGCACACGGGCAGGTGGGGTGCCACCCACTGCAACACGGGCAGGTGAGGGTGCTCACCCACTGCAACACCGAGGCCAGGTGAGGGTGCTCACCCACTGCAACACGGGCAGGTGAGGGTGCTCACCCACGAAGGGCAGGTGAGGGTGCTCACCCACTGCAACACGGGCAGGTGAGGTGCTCACCCACTGCAACACGGCGGGAGGGTGCTCACCCACTGCAACACCGGGCAGGTGAGGGTGCCACCCACTGCAAACACGGGCAGTGAGGGTGCTCACCCACTGCAACACGGGCAGGTGAGGGTGCTCACCCACTGGCAACACGGGGCCAGCGGGTGAGGGTGCTCACCCGCAACGGGCAGGTGAGGCCGGTAGGACGGGAGTTAGAGCGGTAGGCCGTAGGCTGTAGGCCGTAGGCTGTAGGCCGTAGGCTGTAGGCCGTAGGCTGTTAGGCCGTAGGCTGTAGGCCGTAGGCTGTAGGCCGTAGGCCGTAGCAGGAAAACGGAGGACTGAGAGGGACGACAGTCGGTGGGCGGCGGTGGATGGTGGAATTTCTTTTTCTGTGGTCTTTTTGAAAATTTTTGTTAAAATGACCCCTCTCATGTTTTTGCATGGGCATCATGCCATACAGCATGGGCTCGTTGCCATCTATCCGCATGGTTGGGGTGTCATTACAACCAGGGCTCGTGCAAACCAGGCCTCGTTCCCTTGCACCCCTCGTTCCCTTGCACCCCTCGTTCTCACCTGCAGTCTTGCGACAGCTGCCTACGGCACGGCACTGGGAGTAATTCGGTCCCTGCATGCGCAGGGCCTGCTGGAAACAGCAGTGTGCACGGAGACACGCCCCTACAACCAGGGCTCGCGCCTCACGGCCTTTGAGCTCACCCACGACGGCATCCCCGCGCTGCTCATCGCTGACTCCGCCGCCGCTTCCCTCAAGGCCGCTGGCCGGATTGATGCTGTCGTGGTGGGCGCGGACCGCATCGCTGCTAAATGGTGGGTTGGGTGGTTGAGGATTTGAAAAAGGTCGGTGGTGGAGAGATGGTGGGCGCTTTCTGATTGGGTCTCTTTTCAGTTGCTGGGCTTGAGTCCACATCCCTGTGCGGCCTGTAGCTGACTCTGCTGCTGCTCGCTGAGGGCAGCTGAAAGCATGGGGGGGGATGCATAGCGGGGGATGTATAGGGGGGGGATGCATAGGGGGGGGATGCATATGCATAGGGAAGGGATGCATAGGGGGGATGCATGGGGGGGGGATGCATAGGGGGGGGGATGCATAGGGGGGGATGCATATGCATAGGGAAGGGATGCATAGGGGGGGATGCATAGGGGAGGGGTGCATCGGGGGGGGATGCATAGGGGGGGATGCATAGGGAGGGGTGCATAGGGGGGGATGCATAGGGGAGGGGTGCATAGGGGGGGATGCATAGGGGGGAATGCATAGAGGGAGGTGCATAGGGGGGGGTGCATAGGGGGGGTGCATGGGGGGAATGCATAGGGGGGGAATGCATAGAGGGAGGTGCATAGGGGGGGGTGCATAGGGGGGGTGCATGGGGGGGAATGCATAGGGGGGGTGCATATCAGCGACACAGCCAAGGAGATCGGGATGTATTCGTTGGCTGTGTCAGCCGGCCACCAGGGCACATGACGCCCCTTGTTAATGACTTGGTTCACGCCTTTCCATGTGGCTACCCAACATTCTGTCTCGCTGCCTCCCCCCTCCCTCTCTCCCCCCTGCCACCAGGCGACACGGCAAACAAGATCGGCACGTACTCGCTGGCCCTCTCCGCCTTCCACCACAAGACACCGTTCTTCGTGGCGGGCGCCGCTCACGTCCATCGATGCGGCCATTAAGACGGGCGAGGAGATCGTGGTGGAGGAGAGGCACTCCGCCGAGCTCACGCACTCTCTTGGGGGTGCTGGGCCTCAGGTGGGTCTGGCTGGCTACTAAGCACGCACACACTCTGCAAGGGGCGGGGCCTTGGGAATGCTGGGTCTCCTGATTTCCTGGGGGATAGCGGCTGAGGAGAGGCATGTGGCAAGGCGGACTCCCATGCTACATGGCCAGGGCATCAAGAGCGCTGAGTTATACACACCCGTACCTCCACCGGTGCCGAGTGTTTTGGTTTCTCAGTGCTGGGCGGATGGTTGTGTGTTGGGATGCTCATCTGGTGCTTTCGGTCTCATGCACTGAGTGTGTCCTGTGCATGGCAGGTGGCGCCGCACGGCATTGACGTGTGGAACCCGGCGTTTGACATCACGCCTGCGCAGTTCATCACGGGGCTCATCACCGACAAGGTGCGTGGCATGGGCACGGGGGGCGCACTCGACGGCATGGGCAAGGTGGGCAGTGAGGCATGGGCACGGGGGACGCGTGGAGTTTTGAGGCATGGGCACGGGGGACGCGTGGAGTTTTGAGGCATGGGCATGGGGGACGTGTGGAGTTTTGAGGCATGGGCACGGGGGGCGCGTGGAGTTTTGAGGCATGGGCACGGGGGACGCATTGAGTTTTGAGGCATGGGCACGGGGGACGCATTGAGTTTTGAGTCATGGGCACGGGGGATGCCTCAAAACTAAACGTGGCATGGGCACGGGGACGCGTTGAGTTTTGAGGCATGGGCACGGGGGATGCCTCAAAACTAAACGTGGCTTGGGCACGGGGGACGCGTTGGAAGGCACCGACAAGGTGCGTGGGACTGGCACGGGGGATGCGTTGGACGGCATTGCAGTGAGCTCGTGCCCACGTGCTCTTGTTACATGTACAAAGGTCAGCACAACAGCAACCTTTCACATGCGTGTCTTCCGTCCATGTTGATGTGCCAGCCAGCAGCGTCACCCCTCGTCTCGCCTCCTCCTCACTCTCTTCCCCTTGTCCCCACTCTCTGCTTTTGAGTCAACTCAAAACTGCGTGTAATGAGTCTGCTTTTGAGCCAACTCAAAACAGCGTGTAATGAGTCTGCTTTTGAGTTTACTCAAAACCGCGTGTAATGAGTCTGCTTTTGAGTTGACTCAAAACCGCGTGTAATGAGTCTGGTTTTGAGCCGACTCAAAACCGCGTGTAATGAGTCTGCTTTTGAGTCAACTCAAAACTGCGTGTAATGAGTCTGCTTTTGAGTTGACTCAAAACCGCGTGTAATGAGTCTGGTTTTGAGCCGACTCAAAACCGCGTGTAATGAGTCTGCTTTTGAGTCAACTCAAAACTGTGTGTAATGAGTCTGCTTTTGAGTGGACTCAAAAACTGCGTGTAATGAGTCTGCTTTTGAGTCTATTCAAAACCGCGTGTAATGAGTCTGCTTTTGAGTCGACTCAAAACTGCGTGTAATGAGTCTGCTTTGAGTCAACTCAAAACCGTGTGTAATGAGTCTGCTTTTGAGTCAACTCAAAACTGCGTGTAATGAGTCTGCTTTTGAGTCGACTCAAAACTGCGTGTAATGAGTCTGCTTTTGAGTCAACTCAAAACAGCGTGTAATGAGTCTGCTTTTGAGTTTACTCAAAACCGCGTGTAATGAGTCTGCTTTTGAGTTGACTCAAAACCGCGTGTAATGAGTCTGGTTTTGAGCCGACTCAAAACCGCGTGTAATGAGTCTGCTTTTGAGTCGACTCAAAACTGCGTGTAATGAGTCTGCTTTTGAGTCTATTCAAAAACTGCGTGTAATGAGTCTGCTTTTGAGTTGACTCAAAACCGCGTGTAATGAGTCTGGTTTTGAGCCGACTCAAAACCGCGTGTAATGAGTCTGCTTTTGAGTCAACTCAAAACTGCGTGTAATGAGTCTGCTTTGAGTGGACTCAAAACTGTGTGCAATGAGTCTGCTTTTGAGTCGACTCAAAACTGCGTGTAATGAGTCTGCTTTTGAGTCAACTCAAAACTGCGTGTAATGAGTCTGCTTTTGAGTGGACTCAAAACTGTGTGCAATGAGTCTGCTTTTGAGTCGACTCAAAACCGCGTGTAATGAGTCTGCTTTTGAGTCGACTCAAAACTGCGTGTAATGAGTCTGCTTTTGAGTCGACTCAAAACCGCGTGTAATGAGTCTGCTTTTGAGTCAACTCAAAAACTGCGTGTAATGAGTCTGCTTTTGAGTTGACTCAAAACTGCGTGTAATGAGTCTGCTTTTGAGTCGACTCAAAACCGCGTGTAATGAGTCTGCTTTTGAGTCGACTCAAAACTGCGTGTAATGAGTCTGCTTTTGAGTCAACTCAAAACCGTGTGTAATGAGTCTGCTTTTGAGTTGACTCAAAACCGCGTGTAATGAGTCTGCTTTTGAGTCGACTCGAAAGCAGTCTCGCCTCCTCCTCACGCTCTTCCCCTTGTCCCCACTCTCCCTCAACCCTCCCCGGCCCCCCCCCCCGTCACACACACAGGGAGTCATCTGGAAGAAGGAGGGCGCCTCGGTCTTTGACATCCGCGGCTTCCTCCACTCCCTCGGCGCGCCCGTGCCCTCCTCGCCCATGTACCCGCCCCCTGGCGGCAACCCGCCTCCCAAGGAGGACGACGCGCAGCTGCACGTGGACCCGCACAAGGACCGCATCCGCAAGGACGCCCTCGAGGCGTCCCGCTTCACGCCCGTCAGCGAGCACACCGTGCCCGCCTTCCTCCAGGACCACCCGGACCTCGCCGCCAGGCTCGGCGGCGGCCCAGCGGACTGGAGTGTGCGGGAGGTGGGGGACGGGAACATCAACTTTGTGTACATCGTGGAGGGGCCTGAGGGCGCCCTGGTGGTGAAGCAAGCCCTGCCTTACGTGCGCGTCGTTGGAGAGTCCTGGCCCATGACTCTGGACCGTATCTACTACGAGGCGCTGGCTTTGAGGCAGCAGTTTGCGTTTGTGCCGGAGCTGGTGCCCGAGGTGTACTTCTTCAGCCACCCCATGGCCGTCATCGCCATGCGCTACGTGGCGCCGCCTGCCATCGTGCTGAGGAAGGGGCTGGTGCAGGGGAAGGTGTATCCGCGGTTGGCGGAGCACATGTCGTCGTTTCTGGCGCGTACGCTGTTGCTCTCCTCACTCATCGCCATCAACACCGAGGTGTACCGCGATAAAGGTGGGCACTGGGAACGTTGCTTTGCCTGTCAGCTGTTTCTCTATTTCTGTTGCACCCCGTCGCCGTTGCTGGGTGGTGCACTAGCACTGGGGTGACACCAGTGTCTGCACCATTCCAAACTCCTCCCAACCCAACCCTCTGCTCTTTCATGTCTCCTCCCTGCCCTCCCTGCCCTCCCTGCCCTCCCTGCCCCACCTGCCCTCCCTGCCCTCCCTGCCCTCCCTGTCCCCCCTGCCCTGCCTGCCCTGCCTGCCCTGCCTGCCCTTCCCCAGTGCGGGAGTTCTGTGGCAACGTGGAGATGTGCCGCCTGACGGAGCAGGTGATATTCACGGAGCCCTACGTGCTGGCCACCAACAACAGGTGGACCACACCGCAGCTCGATGCCGACGCTGCAGCACTCAGAGAGGACGTGCCACTCAAGCTCGCCATCACTGACCTCAAGACCAAGTACGGTCCCCTCCCTCTCGTTATCACTGGTGTCTAATGCGACGAAACGCTCCCCTCCCCTCTCTTCATTCTGGTCCATCACCCATCTCTCAATTGTTCAGCGCTGCTTTCCTACCCTCTTCTCCCATGTCAACCCCTCTATCCCACCCCCTTGGTACTGCACACTCCCTTGACTGCCTCTGCCTTGCGCGCTCTCACCCCCTTCCCCCCTCTATCCCACCCCCCCTGTCCTCCAGGTTCTGTGAGCGGGCGCAGGCGCTGCTGCATGCTGATCTCCACACGGGCTCAATCATGGTCACAGAGGATTCGACGGTCGTGATCGATCCGGAGTTTGCGTTCTACGGTCCGATGGGGTTCGACATCGGGGCCTTCCTGGGCAATCTGCTGCTGGCCTACTTCAGCCAGGACGGCCACGCCACCGCTGCTGACTCCCGTGCTGTGAGTGTGCTGGCCCTCCCCTCACTGTGTATGTGTCGAACATCCCGCACTGAAAAATCGTGCATGCATGGCTTAACCTCATCCTCCCCCTGTGCTCCTCCCATCCTCCTCCCATACCCATGCCCAGGAGGCCAAGCGGTGGATCCTGCAGTGCTTTGTGGAGACGTGGCAGCTATTTGAGACCAAGTTCCTGGCGCTGTGGGACGACAAGGCTGTGGCCAAGGGCGACGCCTACCCCCAGGCGCTCTACCACGATGCCCCCGCTCTGCTGTCCGTTGCCCAGACTGCTTTCCTGCGGGATGTCTTCCTTGACTCGCTGGGATTCGCCGGTGCCAAGATGATCAGGTGAGAATCAGAAGGGGCCTAACTGAGTTGTTGAGCTTGACATGAGTGATGGATGGATGCTACTTGAGAGTTTGGGTTTGCCCCAAGGACTGGTGGGAAGAACAAATAGGCATTCTCATGAAATGACTTTTCTTGTGCAGGCGCATTGTGGGCATTGCCCATGTGGAGGACCTGGAGTCCATTGCCGACCCTGATGTCAGGGCTGCATGTGAGCGCAAGGCTCTCAATTTTGGGAAGCGCCTCGTCAAGGAAAGGCAACAGTTCAAGAGCATTTCGGAGGTGGCTGTGGCTGTGGAGGCTAGCGTGTAACAATAATCGAGCCTAGTTGCGGATTATTCGTGATAATGGGACTTATTAGATATGTCACGCTTTGTTATAGAATGCCATGTCATAAAAAAGAACTGCCAAGTGAATTGTATCGACATGTGGAGTGATCGCGTCTGATGTCACAATGATCTCCCAGGCCTGAATAGATCCACGTTTACCCACTAACGGGGACACTGATAAGCATCCCTTGCAGCAACGGAATTCAACGGCCAGGGAACCCGGGGCTGCCCCACATACAACTTTGTGCGATGAAACAATTCAAGCCACTGAGCGGCTCGTGCTGCGACCCGACGGAGGACTCTGCCCTGCAGCACCCCGCGAACCCATGCCCCATCAGAATTTCGCAGGCACTCGCCGTGAAAAAGTCGCACAAATTTCCCGCACCAAGAGCCAATTATTGCGGCTCGTTAGCGAAATCTGTTTTTCTTCGCACAGCTCGGCTCGCCCAGCTCCATCCACCATCATCCATCCGCCGTCAGTCCTCGGGATTATACGAGGCTAGTCATAATGCTCGCTGCGATATCTGGTAGCCTGGCCTCTCCACTTATCACGCTCATATTTGGTAGGCCTCACACCTACACCCATGTCACTACCCGTTCGTCCGCGTAGCCTGTAGAAGACGGACCCAGCATCTTCTCCCTCCCATCGATGCTTTCGTCATATCTACCAACAGCTGTTAGCTGGACTCTGTCTGCGAAAGCTGCTGTTTCACGTGATTCAGGCAACGTCGAGCACTAGTTTCTCGCTAGGGCTCAACAGCCACAGTAAAGGGATCGCAGATAATCAGGCTTCCCTGCGTCAGCCGCTACATTCAAATAATCTCCAGTTTCCTCTAATCTGATCTTTGATGCTGAGCGTTAACTTCGGAGGATATCGGGACATTCAGATTCTCCCTCTCCTCAACCACTGAATTTTGAGTCGACTCAAAAAGTCTCCTCAACCGCTGAATTCGTGCGAAGCTTGAAAAAGGCAGGCCGTGGAACGAAGCGCACGAGCTGAAATGAATTCCCGTGCATCGCTCGCCTTACTGCTCCTTCTCACCTTATCCTCAGGTGCCACTTTCAGCGCCTCGTCAGAACCTGCCTGGCAAACTGCCACCGCGCGAATCTTCAACAGATGCTTTGGATCGTTCCCACCTCTAATGTTCTTGGAAACCTGCCCTCGTGTTTTGACTCAGTATTTAAGGCGCCTCAAAAATGGGAACCTGCTCTCATGTTGTGACTCAGAATCGCTTCTTCCTCTGGTCGTACTGCACCGTCCACGTGCCTGCAGGGTCATGGTTGGCCTTAGCCGCCAGCAAGTCGGCAGGCCTGTCTGACGGAGCCACGTGCTACTACGACAAGAACTACACCCCCATGAAGCCCTTCTGCAAGCGAGACTTCGGGTACGCCGCTCTTTCGAGTGCTCGGAAGCGCTCGTCGTCACGCCGTTACAACATTCGCCGCGACATTCGTTGATGTTCTATGAGCACTTTCAGACATGGCGTGAACACTTATTCTGCAATCCTCCCATGCGCTGGTGACTTGCACCGTCGCAGGTGTTTGGTGACCAAGGTGGTTCGCAACTCGCCGCATTTCAAGTTCAAGGGAGTATGCGCCTCCGATGTTCCACGTAAGCTATCAGCCAAAGAATCTCTCCTCCAGCCATATTCATATCAAGCTTGTTGCGTTTGTCATGCTGGAGAATGCGCTCGCAAATCGGAGTTCTTACCACCAAATTCGGTATACCTTGTAATCTCACTGACTCTCGTTTCCAGTGGACCAGATCACGAAGAAATTCTGCATGTTTCGCTCGGTGATGTTCGCGCCGGGGACAAGCGGCATCACGGCGACGTCCATGGTGTCCGCACTGCACGTGCCGGCTGCTCAAGGACGGCCCGTCGTGCCTGTGCCCCCTGGGCAAGCAGTGCAAGCAGGACGCGCTGGGGCGGTGGAAGGACGGCATGCGATGCAGAGACACCCGGCAGAACCAGTTGAGCCGCGTGGGACCTGGGAGGGCGAGGGAGCGGGAGGAAGGGGGAGTGGGTATGGTGGTAGGTGGGGGGAAGGGAAGGGGAGTGGGAATGGTGGGGGAGTGTTGGAGCATCACAGTCCTGGCGCTGTCCCTCTGGAGTGTAACTACATCGTCTGTTGATGTCGGAAGTCTTTTTGAAGCTCATCTTTACATGTTCGACGTGACTCAGCCAACTCTCTATCCTTCCTATGCCACATTGGCCTCCCACTTCCCCGTTTCACCATCAGGTGTGAAATCTCAAGGGTGGTCAACGGCACGCACATCGGCAATTGCATCAACCCTGCTCGTCAGTTCCCCTCCCTCAGTCTTTATTTCTGTATTCCATCAGCCCATCTTGTGTTGAATTTCTGTCATATCATGTCCATAATTTGTACTCATCAGTGCTGTTCGGTTTTGGTGGCGCCCCAGCTTCCACAACATGTCTGCTACATCAGTGTGTCCCTTGGCCCTGTTATCCCTTCTTCCTATCTCCCTCAGAGGGTCCCAACGAGTGCATCAGTGCAGGGCCGGGGTGGGGTCCAATCTTTGTGAAGAACAGGGCGCACAACATGATCAAGACTGGCGACCTCTGCCAGCGCTGCTCCTGCACTAAAGGGCAGTTTGCCAGCTGCAAACCCGTCCCTGGATGTGTCAGTAAGTGTCATGTCGTTGCTTGAAGTTTCAATCACTGTCAGCTCCCATGTTGTGAGGTCCAGCTAAGTGTTTTTGTGTGCAGAGACTGTATTCCCGCTCTTTGCTTCCGCTTGCTGTGTTCTTTACCAGTGTGTGTGCCCAAGAGTCCAAGCAACGTCAAGCAACAGTGTAGCCAGTGCTGCAGCAAGGCGACCACACCCGAGGCAGTGGAGTTGTGTGAAACAGCCTGCAACAGGGTCATCCGATAGCCTTCTGAGAATTGACTTTGCTTTAAGCCTTCCGTCTCATCTTGAATCAGATGAGCTGACATGCCAGCCTACGTTTGTCATGACATTGTGAATAACTGCCATCCCTGGCTCTCCTTGAGCCCTAATTATTATCACGGTATGTTTGACGCATAGCGATAGTGGACCTCTATAGCAGGATTGCAAGCCCCCCATCGGCAATTTTTGAAGTTGCATGCATGTCGTTTGTGCTTTTATGAAGCAAGTGTGGAGCATTTGGTATCAGAATGAGAGTAGTGAATGATGACTAGTGAGAGAGTACAGAAAGATATACCTAAGAATTGTACCCTCTAAGAGGTGACCCTAAACAGTTTATACAACATAACGACTACACATGTTTGACACACCCCCTAGACTGCATAGGGGAATGTCCTAAACAAGCAGCTCAGGGCGGCACTACTAGTCCAACCTCTGAGACAAGGGTCTAAAAGACCAGTCAGAAGGAGTACAGACAATGCAAGAACAAGGCCAGGGCGGCACTACTAGTCCAGCCACTGGAAGAGGACACAAGTCCAGTCTGAGTACACATATAAAGGACAGTACAAAGTCAAGGCCCTAGCAAGTGAGAGGCTATAGGAACTAAACCAAGCTGTACACAGTGCCGCTGATGATCTTTAGGCGCAAGCGCCTTCGTAAAGATATCAGCTGTGTTGGCACCTGAGGCCAAGTGTACTACGCGAGCCTGGCGTCGCTGCTGTAGCTCACGCAGGAGGAAGTACCGCAGCTGAATATGCTTCGCTCTGCCCTCGAGTCGAGGCTCCTGACACAGGAGGATCATGGCCCTGTTGTCAGCGAACAGGACCGGGGCAGAGCTAGGCCGCTCACCTAAGTCAGTGAGCAAGAAGGTCAGCCAGCGGAGCTCCTGTGCCGCCATGGCACCAGCGTAGATCTCGGCCTCACAGCTGGACTGAGCAACAGACGAGGAGCGGGTAGCTCTCCAAGAGACGGCACGTGAACCAAGGCTGAAGCAGTAGCCCTGGGAAGACCTGAGTGTCTCGGCGTCGTCTGCCCACGAAGCGTCTGTGTGTCCAGTAAGGACCACTGGCCTACGTCCTCCTAGCACTAACTCCCATGCCCGATGTACTAGCAAGATAACGCAAAACCCTCTTAGCGGCAGACCAGTGCTGCGGTCGGTGTCTGCCTGTGGCCACAAAGCGAGCCAGGATGCTGAGAGGGTATGCGAGATCTGGGCGAGTGCAAGTCATCAGGTACATGAGCAACCCACCAGCTCTGCGTAGGGGCCGCTGCGCTCTACCGACTCCTCAGACACTAGAGCAGAGAGTCTGTGGTCTACAGGCAGAGGGGTGGGCTGTGCAGAGGAGAACTGAAGGCTGAACCTCTGAAGGACCTGGCGCACCAAGTGTGACTGAGTCAGGGTGATGGTGCGCGCTGCTCTGTCCCTGGAGATCTGCAAGCCAAGGTAACGGCGCAGTTCTCCAAGGTCAGTGCACGTGTGTCTCTTCAGCAGCTCTGCCTTCACGGAGGCCAGTGCGTCCCTGTCTGCTGTGGCAAAGACCAGGTCGTCCACGTAAACAAGGATGTAGAACGGAGTCTGGCCAGCACGAACGAAGAGTGAGGGGTCTGCGGAAGACGGAAAGAACTGCAGGTCAGCAAGCGTAGCACGGAGAGTGTCGTGCCACTCACGGGGAGCCTGGCGCAGGCCGTAGACGGGGCGCCGCAGGAGCCACTGGGTCCCAGGAGGGAAGGTGCCAGTAAAGCCCTGAGGGCGACGCAAGTAGACCTGCTCGTGTAGGCTGCCCTGAAGGAAGGCAGTGGAGAAGTCGAGGGAGTGAAGCTCGTAGTCACGCTGAGCAGCTAGGTGTAACAGAACCCGAAGAGTAGTCATCTTCGGGGTCGGAGCGAAGGTCTGGAAGAAGTCCACCCCCTCACGCTGACTGAAGCCTCTAGCCACGTAGCGCGCCTTGAACACAGGCGGCTCTCCAGGAGGGCGCTTCACCTTGAAGAGCCAGCGGCCATCGACTACGTTCACCCCAGGCGGGGGAACTGCGTCGACGAAGGTGCCGGTGGATCTCCAAGATGCCATCTCCTGCTCCATGGCAGCTATCCACTGAGAGGCCCAAGGTCCCGAGGTCGCCTCAGCGTAAGTGCGAGGGGTCGGGATGTCGAAAGCGTCTGGGTCACCCTCAGGGACTAGCAGCATGGAACAGAGATGGGGAGCAGCCTCGGACAGGAAAGCAAGCTCGAACTGGCGGTCCTCCAGGACGTCACTGCCAAGGGCAGGAGCACCCCCGACAGACGGAGGACAGGCAGGGTCAGAGACCAGAGCTGTGGCGTAGTCAAGGCGGCGGGTAGAGGCGAAGTCAGCGACCGCACAACAAGAGCGTCAAGGTACGAGACCGGAACAGACGGGTCGGTAACGAGAGAGGCAAGGACCCGAGGAACAAGAGGACGAGCGGCACGAAGGTAGTCAGACAGCGGGGGGGGTGCAACAACAAGGGAGGACGGAGGAGGCGACGGGAGAAGGGGAGGACGAGACGCGTGGGAACGAAGCAACATAGGGTGGGAGCGCAAGACAGGCGAGGCAGGACGAGCACGGGAGGGACGGTGAGACCAGACGTGCGACGGAGGAGTCGGGTCAGGAGACAGGGGAGGGGACACAGGAGGGGAACGAGGGGGAAGACGGGCCGGGGACGAGTCCGGCGGAGGGAACACAGGGCCGTAGACGGGAAGAGGAGGAGACGGTCGGAGAGGAACAGCCGCAGGGTCAGGGGACGGAAGGCCGAGCAGGCGAAGGGCTGACACCGGCGGGGACTGCTGCTGCGGCGGCACAACGGCGAGTCCGGGACTGCAAACGGCTCCTCGGCTACCACCGGCACACTCCACACCAGCACCCCCAGAGGGACCACCCCCAGGGCGATCGGGACGAGCACCCCCAGAGGCAGCGAACGGGTGCTGCGACGGCGGCGGCGGCGGCGGCAACGACGGCTGCAGCGGCGGCAGAGGCGGTGGAGGAGGGGACTGGGAGGGGACGCCGGGGGAGGGGCGGCCGGCGAGGACTGCGCAGCAGGGCCACCAGAGTCAGAAGACTCCTCAACCGGGTCCACCGACGGACGAGGGGTGACGTGGGACACACCAGAGGGGGCAGGACGGGGAGGAGGAGGAGGAGGGGCAGGGACTACCGGGAAGGAGGGACCAGGAACAGGGGGGGGTAACCGGGGGACCGCGGTGGGGGAAGCGACGGTAGTAGGAGGCGGACTCGTCAAAGGTGACGTCGCGAGAGTGAAAGAAGCGGTGAGACGGCGGGTGGTAAAAGTGCCAGTCGGACGCGTCAAGGGGAAAACCGAGGAAGACGCAGGGAAGGGTGCGGGCAGTGAGCTTGTCCGTGCCGGAGGCACGGACGTGAGCGAGGCAGCCCCAGACGTGGAACGCAGACGCGTCACCAGGAGACCCAGTCCAAAGACGGGTCGGCGAAACCTGCGGCTGCTGAGGGTGCGGCCACAAGTTAAGCTGGTGAGAAGCGTAGCGCACAGCGAACGGCCACAGAAAATGGGGTGCACCGGCATGGATCATGGAGGTGCGAGCCACCTCCATGACCAAACCGATGCGTCGCTCAGCGACCCCATTCTGCTGTGGGGAGTCCGGTAGGGTGAACGTCTGGGTGATGCCCTCCGCACGACAAAAGCGACCAAGGACACCTGAGGCAAACTCGCCACCACGGTCTGAGTGAAGACGCAAGACAGGGAGACCGCGGTGGACACGCGCAGAGACAAGCCAGGGGATGAGAGCGCCAGGCACGTCGGCCTTGCGCTCCAGGGGAAAGACTGTGGTGTAACGAGTAAAGTCGTCGACAAGCACAAGGAAGTAGCGCTCGCGACGCGGCCCAGGGACGGGGGCGGGGCCCCAGACGTCCAGGTGCAGAGTCTGCAGCGGCGCGGCGGTAGGGGGAAACGAGGAGGAGTGAGGGGCACGGCGAAGCCGACCCTCGACACAAGGCGTGCAAGGTGGGGCTGGGGAGGAGGGAAACGAGGGGAGAGAACCTGGGAGACCAAGGACAAGACCATGCTGGGACATGTGACGCAGTCGCGGGAGCGCAGGGTGACCTAGGCGGTGGTGCCAAAGGAGAGTCGGGTGAGTGAGGGAGCGACAGGAGCAGGCAGCAGCAACCTGGGTAGACGCAACCACCTGAGGGGGCGCCCCGGCCGGGGGGGTCACAGTGTCCAGAGTGAACAGGCCGGACACCGGGTCCCGAGGGAACGTGGACAGGGGGGCACCAGTGGCGGCCTCGGTACAGACAGTATACCGCTCGTGACCAGGGAACGTAGTGGTGACGCCAAGGTCCTGGAGGCAGCCGACACCAACTAGGTTCCTGGAGAACGAGGGGATGTGCAGACCTGTAAGAGAGCCCGAAGGAACCGCCGGACAGGGAAGGGTGGTGGAACTGCGGGCGACTACCGGACAGCCGGAGGGGTCAGCAAGAGAAACGGCAGCTGGAACAGGAAGCGGCGTCAGCGTCGTGAAGTCGCGGAAGAAGCACCGAGAAGCGCCAGAGTCCAAGGTGAAGGAAAGCGAAGCAGTGGCGTCTGGCGACGGAACGACGGCGGAAGCACCAAGACTAAACAAAGCAGGGGATCCTACGCCTGACGCAGCAGGGGAGGCTAAGCTAGGCACACCTACACTAGCCGACAGTGAGTAATAGGCGGGAAGCACACTAGAGTCATCAGCATACATCACATGCAGAGCAGAAACAATGGCATCCATGTCCATGTCAAAAAACTGAATCTGACGACTAAGCAAACTGTGCCAGTCCGGGAGGTCGGGCGACGGGCCAAAGCGCTGACGAAACAGGTCGTCCAGGCGACGAAAACAGCGGGGAGTGGAGTGACCGATCTTACCGCAAACGAAGCCGCGGCGAGGACCGGTCTGGATCTGGTACTGACAACGCACGCCTCCAGAACCACCACTTGGCACACCACCACGCGCCCGACCACCCCCAGGGCCACCCGGGCGGGAGTACACTCGTCTGCCGCGTCTGCGGCTGCTGCGAAGGCTGCGGCTGCTGCGACTGCGGCGGCCGCTGCGGCTGCTGCTGCTGCTGCGACCGCAGGGGCGGCGGCTCAGCTGGACTGGGCAGGGTCCCCTCGTCCGCTCCAGCACCAGACGACCCGACTCCACCACCACCTCCTCCTGCACCCCCGCCTCCTCCGCCGCGCCCAACCTTGGGGCGGTGGCCCTTCCCCGA